GAAATATGGCTGTGGATAAGAGGGTATCACTGTAAAATAAAGCTGGCGTGATGACATCCATGTTGTACCACCATTATGGGCAAAGTCAAGATGCAAAAGTGGAGGGTTAAGCTCTACTTTTGTACAATAATAAATCAAGGGCACGTTATCCCTTTTCCCTTCCTTAAGTGAATGGTGGGTGATAACTTTTTAGTTTTAACTTCGTAAACAAAGCATTACATTTTATTGCAAGCTACCCTAAAGGCTGATGTAGAACACAATTGTGCTGTATTCAGCACATTCCATTTGAAATTAGGCCATTGCAATGAATGCTCAGGCAAAACCACCATCTCTTTTCTTTTGCCCTGATCATATATTCATGTAGTGGCAAAGAGTACCATAGACTGTGTGCTAGGATCTTGTACTACTGATTACCATCTCTACTAATAGAAACTGGTACCAAGTGGATTCTCTTATCCTTGCCCTATTTTTTTGCTTACGTGTTATTTTATTTTCCTTATTACTGTCATTTATATTATTGGGTTGGATCTTCAGTGCCTTCTGTCTTAAATTATACCATACAATGAAATCCAGTGTTGTGGTATTAACTGAAGGATAAGAGAAAAATAAAAATCTCCTTTTGCAGTGGTGCATGGTTTGGATTTTTGTCTTTTATCTTTATAATGTTCTTCTCTAGCTGGTGAGACAAGCCTACTTGAACCTTCAGGTGCATCTCAGTTCTTTAACATAATAAAGGCTTTGTTGAGCTTCCTGCTACTATGAGTATGTTTAAGTTTTATCTGTAACACTTTTTATTGTATAAATTGGCTCATATTCTTAGAAAAACCCAGTAAATTGAAGAAATCCCACACTTGTCCTCCCTATCTCCTCTTGCATGGAAGGAATCCACATATGGAGTACCAGTGTGGGCAGTATACTTTACTACAGGAATACCTAATAGAACTCTATAGCTCAGCTTCAGTGAATAGGATATACTTCTTGGTTGGAGTGCTGAATTCATGGAGGTTGAT